GGCACCACTTAGGAGAATTTGGAAATGCAACGGTTGGAACAGCCGCTTCCCTGTGACTTTAAATAAGCTGCACTAATTTTGCCATATGGTAAAATATCGCTTTGCCCCTTATAGCTTGTTGGCTACAGTATAGATGTCACTGAGCCTCGGTCTAATCTCTGGTTGCTGGGCACTGCTCCAAAGCCGGTTGGGATCAAAATCCCAAAGCGTATTTTTCTAAAGTCCACTGATTCAGATCTTGTAAAGACCATTTTCCATCATGTCTCGCATCTATCAACACAAGGGAACATCCACCCTTCAAGCAATGAATTTTCAAACTATCCTGTAAATGCGTCTGATTACAACACTGTCGTTTAGCCTTAGACTTAAACAACTTTTACAGTTATTTTGTATACAATATAAAATAGTGTATATAATACAAAATTTTGTTTAGTTCAGCTTTCCAGACAGTAAATGAACATTTCCAATCAATAAAGTGCTGCAGTGATCAAATGTAAACAGTGTGGGAGAAAAAACATGCGTGAAAAAAATGCATTTCTACTTATGAGGCTCACATATTACAATATAACTGTTGTTACTTAGAAAGCACCATTAATTTCTTTAAGTCTTAAATCTGTTTTCCAATCTAATTCCCCCTGGAGTTTGAACGGTTGAAAAGTAAACCATCATGTTTCAGATTTTTCAAACCAACCATTTAACTACGGTACTTTTTATTTTTTGTAGGAGGTGATTGAAGCCATTGCAGAATGTGCCTTCAAGACTTCACCTTTTCCTGTCATCCTGTCATTTGAAAACCACGTGGACTCGTAAGAACTTCACTCATTTATACAAATACTCACCTGCCAATTGCTCTGGCACACCTTGCTAGTCCCAGATTTCCATGGAGTTTCATGGATTGATTGAAGCCATACAAACACATGGGTGAAAGAGTTTGGTGAGGATGGACTAAGGTGGCCTCAACTGAGACCAAACAACTCAGATCCTCTGTATCCTCCAAAATTCAGATTTGTCCCAATGATATACATGAATAAAATGACAGAATTAACTCTCAGTATGCAGTTAATATCTCCAAAGTCATTTTAGTCATCTAATCATTTGATTCAAGTGTTGGACCAAGGATATATCTAAAAGTTGAAGGATTGCCTACCCCTGCTTTATGCCTTTAAAGACGAGGTTTTAGGAGACCATCAGAATATACCCATAAACACACTCCTTACCATTATAGACCATGTTCCTAAAAGAACTGAACTTGTTGCAGATGCTAAGGTGAACCAAACCATTAAACGCAGCGGATTAGGAATTAAATGTCTATTAAGTTTTAAAGCGAGTTTGCCAATACAGTGTATTTTGTGCCTTAATTGTTTTTGGCAGGGATTCAATGAGGCAGTCAGACAGATACCTTAGATGTTGGCTCGGGATGTAAGGCATTGGCCTGTAACTGGTGCGTTGCCAATTTGAGCATTTTGCCCCTGCCTTGGTGGTCTGGGGGCCTGGTGGCGCTGATGTTTGGCAATATGCTGTGGAGAAATGTAGCTAACAATTATAAGCACTTGACTGAGTGAATGTAGTGTGAAGGGATTTGGGGTCCTTGAACTCAATAAAGATTTCTGTAACTACAAGCCATTTACAATGAGAGATGTTTGCCACTTGGATACAGGGGCCTCGTTATCAGGTTACAAATAAGTTTATAACCCGGTCCACCATTCAGAAGAGAGAGGTAATGTGTCGTGAAACCAAGGATGAGGTCCGCCACGGTACTCAGGAAGTCTGGCAGGGAGTTAACTAACTTTACACAGATAGCGAAAGATGTTAATTGAAAAAAATGTTTAATTTTTGGTTATGGTCGATGATTGATGGTGGATCAACTCTCCAACAATGTGCAACAATTATGTGTTCAACACCAGCACTAAATGAAGGGACATGTGATGGTGAACTATCAGCATTGATACTAACTGGTGAAAAACTACACCTTTCTCATGGATTTCGCAATGACTTTAGAAAAGTTCAATATTTTAATGTCAAGAGGACATGAAGTGATGCTGATTTTTTTTTTTTACTTTGATTTAATATAAAAGAAATACAAATGTTCATATAGATCCAAATGTAGAAAATGGTTGAATTAGCATTGATAAACACAGTACATTTTGCAGTGTTCAAGTAAGAGTATGTGTTAAATCTAACACCAATCACAGTGCATTTTGTCCAACTCTGAAGTAGTGTTAAATTAACTCTCTACATAGTGTATTTCTTACTACAGTTGTTTTTTGTAATCACTCTAAAAGAGTCAATGTACTTTGACAGAGCATATTTAACCCTTAACTGCACTTGGATTGGTGTTAAATTAACTCTTAAATTGTTACTTTAACGGTGCAAATTTTACTTTGGTACTGAAAGACTTAAAGCTACCCCGAGATGTTTCTGACCGCAATATCCAGACTAAGCTAAAATCTAAAAGGACCAGGCAACGGTTGTCCAGTCTATGTTTTGTCTGGTTGTATTCAGCCTGCAGGAATTGTGTAGCTTCTTGTTTTCAGCTGACAGAAGTGGGTCTTGGCGTTCATTGATGTTGAGACACTGGTTTGTATTTTTCGGTGTCTTGAACCCTTCTGACCATTTCCCTTAGACCTCTGACAGCATTTAGGTGTTTTCACCTACCTAACGAAGTGAGATACTTGAAAACATTATGAGAACATTATGTGTAAATGGGTGATGGTTGTGTAGGAAAATCCAGGCAATTCAACCATTTCTGAAGCATTCTGACCAGCAAACTTCTAAGTCACTTAATCTTTAAAGCTTGATTAAAAATTTGAATTTAATAAGTCGTCTTCCCAATAAACAAATGCCAAATGGAATTGAGTTACTACCATGTGATTGGCTAATAGATAGTTTTTTTTCAGGAGCACTAAGTGGCCGGTGAGTGTTGTTTACCTGTATGTATGAAATGTCTCTTTGTTGACACAAAATATGTAAATATCTCTTGTGTTTTTCAGCTTGAAGCAGCAGGCGAAAATGGCCGAATATTGTCGCTCTATTTTTGGAGAAGCACTGCTGATTGATCCTCTGGACAAATACCCTGTAGGGAAATACTAATCGCTGCATCATTACATGCTGTGGTCTTTAAAGTAAGCTGCATTAAATGCTGTCTCTCCCACCACCCCCCACCCCACCCCTCCAACTCTCTGGTATCTGCAGCTGGAGGCTGGCACCCCCCTGCCCAGTCCTCAGGAGCTGTTGGGCAAAATTCTCATCAAAAACAAGAAATCTCACAAACCTGCCAATACCACAGACACCAAGAGGCTAATTGACCAGCCTGCCAATCAGAGCAACGAACCAGTGTCTCCTAGCAACAACACAGGAGGTATGACACAAAGACAATAGCCACAGAAATCCACATGAAACGGGCTCAGCTGCCACAGTCAGTGGGGGGGGTGGGGGTAATGAAAATCACTTACTTTTGGATTGCAGGAGGACACAAAATATCAGAGCCTTCAGGATTCAAATTAAAATGCTTTTTGTACCAATCTGTGGAGTTGTTTTCAACATTCAGCAGATGCAAATATGAATCAGCGGTGTCACTTGAAAAGGTTCAGAGATGGAGCTGCCGTTAGAAGTGAGAGACGATTTCATTTTTCTTTTCTGCTAATGAAGAGCTGCTTGCACAGGGGGCTCATGTGTTTTTATCTTGACCTTTAGCCTGAGTGGCCCTCAGATGACTTTACATTCATAACCCTGCATCTCATCAGGGAGGCCTCAGTAATGAGCCAGACATCCCAGATTAGATCAGAAGAGCAGAACGCCAATTAAGGGGTAGTGCAGAAGGAAATTAAAAGCCGTATTGACATGTATCTAGATCCTGAAAACAGGTGTGGGACTGAAGATCCCAGCTTGGTTTGAAAGGCAGATCAAGTTTTCTTTCTTAAAATCTAAAATAAATGGCTTTTTCCAGATCTTTCTGGTTTTTACTTGAGTCTTCATGAAGCCTGCAGTTTTTGCAG